TAGTTTTAAACATTAGTAACCTGAGGGCTTTGGGAAAGCAAGAGGCAATATACCAAGCTGGACTTAGTATTTTCAAGTGTATAGACCTCAGGGCATCCAAAGAAATGCTGTTTATATGACATCCCTCTGGCAATGTAACACTCCACAGCTGCTGTCTAACAATTTTCCTTCCTTTTCATCACATGCTGGGCCCAGCTTCTGTGAATTGCATCAGGTTGTCACTCCTGTCACTCTTCGACGGGTGCGCAAGATGAACACACAAAATACCAACAACCAGCTGCATTTCAGAAATTTCCCCTTTCCTTCCTCATTTGGAACTTGACTTTCTGCTCTAAAACCCATTCAGAATGCTGCAACTCCCCCATGTCGGTGCTAACACGAGTTGGCCAGGTTGTGCAGAGCACCCCTTCCCCATAGAACAGAACATGTTAAACCCAAGCTCAAAGGTCTGCTCTGCCATGTAGCCCAACTTCTGTCCCAAACTAAGCCCCCACAGTCACAGCCACCAAAACCCTCACAACATGCCAGGACCAAGCCCACCACCAAGTCCTTGACACACACATCCTGTTGTCCCAAAGGAAGACGGAAGCTCAAGGAGCCAGAGATAAAGCTGCTTCCTCAGAAAAATGCTTCAAGGGAGCAGAGACCACGTCAGTCTCTAATAAATCTCTTTAGACATTGCTGCATTTTTTTGTTTGTTTGTTTTTCCCGGTAATGTTACAAATCCTCGGCTGCATGAAATTTATCAAAGAGCTCACATCACCGCCACAGCCTGCCCGGGAAATACAGGGGAAGGATTTAACGGAGCAATTTGGGAAAGGCCGCTCAGCACACACCGCCTCCCCACAGCGGGTGGACAGGAAAACAGGCTAGCAGGTTAAAACAGCCTAGCAGGTTAAAACATCACACGAGAGCGTCGCCCAACTGTAACACCCCCCGGGAACCAAACAACCGAAAGCCTTTAACAAGGAAACTGACAGCAGCGGCGGGGATGGGGCTCCCAAGGGCCCGCCTGGCACCAGCTCCACCACCTCCCACCCGAGTCCCGGAGAAAACCTGCCCTACAGCCGGGGGGCGGGGGATGCCGAGGCCGCCTTCGCTCTCACCGCGGAGCCCGGGCCGGGACAGGGAAGGGGAAGAAGCCGCCGCCAGTTCCAGCCGCCGCGGCTCCGGCCGCCGCTCCCCAGAGCGGCCGCTTCCGCTTCCGCTGACGTGCAGGCAGCAGCGAGGCGGCGGGCCAGAGAGCCCGCACGGTCCCCACAGCGCCCCCTGCTGGAGGGAGGTGGGCGCTACGCCAGGGACGGGCGCCCACGGAGGAGAGGACACCGTGGCAGGGTTACTGAATCATGGAATCACAGCATCATCTAGGTTGGAAAAGACCCTTGGGATCATCGAGCCCAACCATCTACCCTACTCTACAAAGTTCTCCCTTACACCATACCCCCCAACACCACATCTAAACAGCTCTTAAACACCTCCGGGATGGTGACTCCACCACCTCCCTGGGCAGCCTGTTCCAATGCCCGACCACTCTTTCTGTGAAAAACTCTTTCCTAATGTTCAGTTTAAACCTACTCTGTTGGAGCTTGAAGCCATTCCCTCTTGTTCTATCACTAATTACCTGCGAGAAGAGACCAGCACCAGCCTCTCTACAGTGTCCTTTCCAGTAGCTGTAGAGAGTGATGAGGTCTCCCCTCAGCCTCCTCTTCCTCAAACTAAACAGTCCCAGCTCCTTCAATCACTCTTCATACTTTGAGGGTTCCAGAGACTGGAACAGGCTGCCCAGAGAGGGTGTGGAGTCTCCATCTCTGTAGACATTCAAAACCCACCTGGACATGTTCCTGTCCAGCCTGCTCTGGGTGACCCTGCTCTGACGGGACTAGATGGTCTCTGAAGGTCCCTTCCAACCCCAACTATTCTGTGTTTGTGTGTGCTGCTGCGGCAAAGAAAGACAACGAGATGCTGGGTTGCACCAACAAGGGCATCACCAGCAGAGATAAAGAAGTCATTATCCCACTCTACACAGTGCTGGTCAGGCCACGCCTGGAATCCTGTGTTCAGTTTTGGTTCCTGCTATGCAAGAAAGATATGGACAGGCTGGAGAGGGTCCAGAGAAGGGCCACCAAGATGATCAAAGGACTGGGAAGCCTGCCAGATGAGGAAAGGCTGAGAGAATTGGGTTTGTTCAGCTTGGAGAAAAGAAGGCTTAGGAGAGACCTTGTCACCATGTTTTTGTATTTAAAGGGTGACTACAAAGAAGATGAAGACTCCCTTTTTACAAGGAGTCGCAGGAAAAAGACATGGGGTGATGGGTACAAGTTACTCCTGGGGAGATTCCAATTGGACATAAGAAGAAAATTTTTCACCATGAGAACAACCCGCCATTGGAATAATCTCCTCAGGGAAGTGGTGGATTCCTCAACATTGGACACATTTAAGATTCAGCTGTACAGGGTGCTGAGCCATCTTGTCTAGAGCATGCTCTTGCCAAGAAAGGTTGGATCACATGATCCCTGACGTCCCTTCCAACCTGGTATTCTATGATTCAATGAAAAGCATACAGATTTTGTCTCTACCCCTAAACAGAAGCACCCTTAATTACCAACAGTGATAATTCAGAGGGAACAGTTACTCTGTGACTAGTTATCATGACACTTAGAATTTTAGCATCTAGCCATGAGATATGACATTCACTTCTGGTCGTAGCTACTTGTAGCCACTGCTGAATTCAGTGAGAAGTGGAACTATCTTCCAGTTCCAACTTCACTGTGATGGAGGTTCTCCACACAATTGATACACTTCACTCATTTTTAGCATTATTCATGCAAGTTAATATAGTATTACTTCAAGGCTTTCATGCAGAGTTAAGGGAAGGCTGAAATCATTACAGATTACTTGAACTGTGTGACTTCTTCAGAGTAGTACATCAGTATGCCTTTAAGGTCTGGTTGATAAAATCTATTAGCCAGGCCATGACCAATAAAGAACAACAGAAAAATATTTTCTAAGTTATTGCTATAAATTACCAAAACATGGACTTTTAACTGGTAAAACTGATTTCATCGTTCCTGTGTCATTTTTCCACTTGACTGAAAGCATTAAACGCTACTGACCAATAGAGTCTCACTGAAGGTACTTCTATTTTCTGACTTGCAAAACAACAGGCTTTATACTTCTGTAATATATCATTCATGAGGGCCAAGGTTAAAAGAGAAGTTACATTCTGGTAATTTCTCAATTTAGCCACAAAACGTAACTGTCTCTGGCTAGATCTATAAAGACTGGACAAGGCAGCCATAAAAGATTGGACAGGGTTTCATAAAGCTTTTGATGGTGGTGGTGGTCAAAACCCTTCCAGTTTCCTGTCTTTAGCTGCTCATTCTGCTTCAGGACAACACCCAAAACATAGTTTGTTAGTGCTAAAATGTGGTTACATGTCTTAAAACTGACATGAGATAATCTTCCAGGGTGCGCAGTGCCGGTGTCTCCTACTTCAGCTTCCCCGAGATGCTCTTTAGAATGGGGCTTTGACCTTCCGATACTGACTTTAACTCATGACAAAATATTCTTAAATTAAATATTGCAAATAAAGTGATGCAATTCCTCATTTTACTGCAAGAAGATATATTTATGTGCTGAAAGTATTGGGGATTAAGGACACGACAGGGAAAGGAGTAGTATAGGCTTTGGCTGGGAAGAGGTGGGTTACTGTATGTATGACTCCAAGAGACAAAGGCAAAAAAGAATGAGAAATAGCCCAGAAGACACAGTCCAGAACAGGTTCCCTGCTCTTTTTCGCTTCCAAAATTCTTTTTAAAATTCTGATTTTTTCTGATTTTTAAGATTCAGGAAAAGCATGAAAGATAAACACACAGAAGAGTCCTTCTGATTTAAATAGAAGGTCATGGGTCTTAGATGGTGAAAATTATCTTAAATCTGTGAACTGCAGTGGAACTTCACCAGTTCCAGATAAGATATGGAACTGTCTCATCTGAACGATGATGTTAAAGGCTTTTTATAGCATGGAGCTGCAGGAAACAAATATAGATATATATTTTTAAGTATAGAATAATACAAATATGGGATTGATAAATGCTACATACAAAATATTCTCAAGTTATTATGTCATAGGTTTTCCTGTCTTCTTATTTCTGATGTTGGTTAAAGAGTTTTAAAAAATAGACTTGGGAAAAAACATCACCTGTATTTTATGGCTGCATCTATTCTGTCTGTCTCTTAAACAAATGAGCATGAAGCTCTGATTGCTCATTACCACTCTTCCTCATATTCAGGCTGCCATATTTTTTCTTTTCCGTGGAACAGATACAGCTGGTAACAATTTCTGTCTTCCGAAGAAAATCCACATTATATTCACAACCTCAAGTATTAATTCAATCCATCATTGAATTGAAGCCTTTTATAAGAATGCTACAAAAGCATTTGTGATAATCCTTTACTCCCATAACTTTTTTTCCTATTCAGTTTTGGAGAATTCTTGCAGGAGAAGCAAGACGATGTATTTCAAACTACATTCTATACATCCAATGTCAGGAAATGCGATGTAGGAAACAATTCTGCTTTAATTGAAAGATGGGCTCTTTAGCCTGTCAGGTCTTTTCCATTTATAATTTAGCATATTCTCTATCTCCTGTGATGAAGCTGTGCCATACAAACCGCAGAGCGACAGTCTCCCACACCTCAGGACGAAGACTTTCCACAGTGCAATCAAGTCAGTCTGGCAATCACGTGGTGTCTTGGTATTTGGCATCACATAAATAACTGTGTAAATGTACAGAGTCCCTAGATTAGGTCCGCAAAGATCATTTAAAGTATTTTTTCTTTTGATAATTGCTGAAATAATTTGCACAGACAATGTCCCTTTTTCTCCTTTCCTTTTGTTTGGTCTGATCGCTTAGGGAAGAATGTCTGAAATATTATCAGACAGAAGAAATGCCAAACAGATTATAATTGCGTATTATTCCACATAAAATGCAGGCTTATTTGTCTTCTAATATAGTCAGTTTAATGTTTATACAGTACAAGAATAGAAAGGTATAAACTACTGATGCAAGCCTATTAAATATGGTTAAACATTATAATCATTTTTAGTTTATTAGTTTCTAACATGATACAATTGTTGGTCAGGAATTCACTATATCTGTACTTTATTTCAAAGGAATGCTCTGAAGTTCTTATTATTAGAGGGTCTATGTTTTTTATTACAATTACAAGATGAATGATATGAGCTTTTCCACCCAGAAAATATTTTCTTGTGTCTATTAAGCAAAGAATTTGTAAACATTACAGAAAGCATTGTGACATCTGCAATTAATACACAGTTAAAACAGGACAATGTGTCATAGGTAACAGTAATCTGAATTATACTTGCTATTGAAGATGGTTTTCTGGAATCTGCGTGTTGGGCAAATACTTCTTGTGGCTATGGATCAAAGGCTACGACACAGATACTTGCACTGGATTATCCCAAATACATTCTGAAAAGAACAACTGCATTTCATAAATGACTACTATAGATACAGTCCTTCTCTTTAATGGTATTTAGCTGGCAAGTATAAGACTTAAGTCCTTACAAATTCCAGATGATTTGTGTTGCCCACATAAACTGCCTTCAGGACTGTCGAGGTTTACATAGCTATTAAGATTTGGGTTAGAATGAGCATAATTTACAACATATACCTAGAATAAATAGATAACTTCTGCAGATTAGATAATCAAAGGTATGGCCTTTCCTATATACAAGCAGCAGGACAAGATTTAAAAAGTAAAGTAGAAAGCTGTACATTTTATACAGTTTTTCAAAGATATTCTCCCTTATTTGATGTTATTTCGATTTTGAACCCAAAGCACATTTACACAAATGTTTTCAAAGGGGAGAGTCCATAAGAAAGACCATAGTGAAGTGCGAGTCACAGTGCCCTTGTGTCTTCCATTTCACAGCTGGCAGGTTCTGAGAGAGGACAGGAACCAGCCTGTGATTTCCAAGGGAAAATTTATCAGTCAGCTTTAGGTATGCAGCTGGTTTGGTCCACAGCTCCTCTCCCTGTACAACCTTGGCTGCCTAAAGAAAAAGGAGGTCTTCTCCTGCAGGACGTTCTGACCAGGAGCTTCCCTGAATGACCTTTTGGGTTGGCATTTCTTTATTGACTCTGGGAAGAACAGCCAGTTAAGCTTAGCTGACCGACACTGGGCAGTATCACTGGGTTTCTTCTTGTCAACGTTGTTCCTCTTCAGCTCTTGCTCAACACTTTAATTCATCCTCTCTTTCTACTGTAACAGAATGCTTTCACAAGTTTTTATTTTTCATTTTTTGTTACAGGTGAGATCTTCCAAACCACTCAGTAGACTCCACCCCAGGTTCAAAGTAACTCTAAGCGCTAATAAGTATTTAAGTAGTGCACTGAATATACTAACCCATAGCTAGAAACTGGTGAAAATTACTCTGGTAATTCTATGAATTTTGAAGTCTATCACTTGCCTAAAAAGTAATCGTAGTCACCAACAACTACTGTTGACATAGTATTTTGTTAACTCTTAGTCCAGAGGTAGAGAAGAGACATAAATAAAAAAAAAAAGAATCTGTTCTCTGACTGGGCCTGCTCATGTACGTAAGCAATAAAGTGCAAGAAGGAAGATATTAATGATATAAAACCAACCAAACAAATGAAAAAACCAAAACATTTTGAGCAGTCTGACAAACAAAGCAATTCTGCTGAAAAATATTAATTTTCTGTTTCTAAGACAGTACCACAAATAATTGGAAGGTCAAAGGGAGTACTAAATGTTCTCAGGGAAAAATAATGTAGCTGCATAGGTGAAAAGTTGTTCCTGTGGTACCTGAATGCCAATCTCTGATTCACCAGGACAAGGTTTGATTCTTGCATTGATGTAGGTGTGATGTCTTTAATGGAGTTCTATATTTCAACACATTTGAAAATGGAAATGTGCATCATTCTCATACAGAACTCATTTGGTTGCTTTCTTTTTTCTACTTCCAGGATATAAATTAACTGTTAATGCTCTTAATGCTTTAAAAATATTTCTAGCTATTAATGAAAGATAATTTATACCTCCAGAACAAGGAGTCTCCACTGACCATGAGAATTACCGGTCCTATGTTGAAAGTCTCACACATTTGTAAGTATTTGCCAGAGTGAGGCTCTCCTAATATATATAAGTGAATGGTCAATTGTGTATGGAAAAAGTATGTTCCATTCTTTACTTCTATGTAAAATTAAAAAGCAGATACTGCATATTACTTACTATCTTTTTGATCAGATGGTTTATGAAATGCTGGTCAGTGGACCAGTCAACCTTAACGTTAGAAAATGCATCTTTAGGACAGAGGACAAAGGGAGAGACATAAGAGGTTGGAGGCGTAGAAGCATATCCTCATCAGTACTAAGCAGTCCCTGTTGTTGGATGACCAGATTGAGTTATCATTTAGGTAGGTGTCATCAAAGTTCACAATCTTCAAGTCCTTCTTAAGGTACATTTCATTCAGTTTGTTTAGCGTTCGAGCAAAGGTATATTTAGATGCACAACTATATGCTTCCAGATTGTAGACTTTGTGGAAGTGCATATCAAAATATGGATTATCCTAAAAAAAATGGAGAGAGAATGAAATTATTGCACGCATTACAAATGGTAGAGCTGCAATCTGTTGTTCTCTGCCCAGCTACCTCCAGGGCTTTTTCTCAGTTTGATGGACACTAAAGGACTTTGCAACTTTCTGCTATTCATACTAAAAGGTCATTTAAAACTTTACAAAGTAGCGGTTTATAATTAGCTGCTATTCTTTGCCATTAGGAGTTTTGTCTGAGGAAAACTTTCAGAGTTTGGCCAAGCGAGAGGCTGCACTTTATTGGGATTGTACAATCTTGTTTTTAAATGAACTGTTTTGTCATGTTGCCTAAAACACACTCTATGAAAAGCACTTGCCTTGAACTATAACTTTATATGCCTATCAGAAGAAAAATATTGATTGCCCTTCCTCCCTAAATTGTAATTCTCTGAGCTTTCTGCCTTTTTGGCACAATTAATCCCAGCTACATTCTGTTAAATTCTGTGGGTATGAATGACTATTATGTATATTTATAGCAGTGTTAATCACCCTATAATTAGGAGTTTGAGGTTCATTTAGGCTTTTCTTTAACCAGAAATGAGAGAGATTTTGATCATCCCCGTGCGGAAGGCTGAATCATCTCTAAAAGATATTTCAGCACAACGCTTCTGAAAAAAACTGGAGTAAATTCATGTAGGCAAGTGATAAGGAAGTCGTCTGGTTGCTTTGGCTGGGGAAAGGACAGGAACATCTCTGGAAGCAGGAGAACTAGGAGAGGGGATGTAAAGAATTGTTAAATTTGGCTTTTTTTCTCCTCTGGCCTAAAGCGCAAAGAGCTCCCAGGGTGCAGGGATACTTTGAAGCTGAGCTCACCTCCTCTGTCTCCCAGGTTCCTGGTTTTAGACTTGAGGGCAACGTGCACAGGACAGAAGAACAACCACAGTTTGTCATTTTCCTTGGATAAAGGCTCTGAAACCTTTCTTGTGGGCTCATGATTTCTCTTTCACTGGGATAATGTAATCTGAACTCTATTTTATGTTCATTTGAAAGCACTTTCAAAGGGAAAAAATGTCATTTTTTTCTTGGACTACATTTATTATGCACAGACTGTTAAAATGTCTCTTCAACCATGCAGTAAGACATTTGCCTTGGCATATTCTTCTAGTTTTTGTAAAATTGGATTTAATTCTACTTTTGGTGTTCTGTTTTGCAGCATCATTTTACCCTTCAGAAGTTATACATGAGAGACTAGGAGTTTTTTAGCAGTAAGGTCAGCCAGATCTAGCCAAAGTTGTTTCATATTTACACACAAAAATGTACAAATATTTAATTTATCCATGTAATGTGAGATTAAGCTACATGAAAGAGGCACAATTTCATGAGCCGGTACACCAAATGATGCACTTCCTTGCAAGATGTTTTACACACTGACTTTGTCACACAGAGAACAAGTTCAGTCTCCATAAAAATATTTAACAAAATTTTGTTTTCAAATGCACATTCAAATCTGTGGGATTAACTCCAGTTTATTCTGGGAGTTGAAGGTGGCAAACTTTTACTCCCCATTATGATTAACAAATTAGAAAACATCTGACTTGTGTCTCAGATCTCAGCCGGAGAGATGAAGAATATTACAGCAAACAAGAAAATTTCCTCCCACGCCACAACAGTACAAATGTGATGTGGGGCCTCTCGTGGGCAATAAAACCAAAAATTCCTTGGAAGTTTTATTTATTTTGGGTTGCAGCACCAGAAAAGGATACTCTGATATATATATAAAATACATAACACTTACCGTATCTGCTTCTTTTCCATCAATCATCTCCAGATCTTTCAAAAACCACTTTTCAACTATTTCATATTTCTCCTCTCGATCCACTCGCAAGTGCTTAACCATACATATTTCTACTTCTTCACTTTTAGTCACTGCAAGAGGAAAATAGTTTAGATATGCAGGCAAGTAGTTCCAAAAAGTTCCAATAATAAATGTCTTAATCAAACTACATTTTAGATGGTAACTTAAATGATTACAGGCAGGGGCTGTATAGGGCTATGCTGGGCTTAATAATTTTATTTTGCCCAGTAGTAGGAATAGCACCTTGTTCTCAGCCTGTGAAGCTTGGCAGCTCCTAGTAGATTTAGGATTTACCCTACCCATCCAGTGAAAAGACAATCTTATCAGTGCAAAAGCCTTTCATCCGAGTTGAAATGAAAGCCTAATTCTGGGACTGGATTTGTATGGATAATCCACTTATTCTATTTAATTCTAAGGGGAATTTGGAGTGCTGGAGTCAGAAATTTGGAAAACTGCTACCAAGACTCTGTATTTGCATGACTTGTGCTGTACTTGCCATTCTGTGGATGAAGTTCTCTTACAAGGCCATTGCTTCTTAAAAATAAAACTCTTATTTCCCTATAAAATATGTAACTTGGCCACTTAACAAAAATAACATTGAAAATATCACTTAAAGCTTCAATTTGCCCAGTGCTACCTTTGTAGAAATTGCTATTTTCCAACTTAGGCAGGAAATGAGAGGAAAAAGAGCACCAAGACACTCTTTGCAATAACTACCATTATTAATTGATTACACTGAGTGCTGCGTGGGAGGTTGGATTTCTGTAACACACAGTGATGAGTGTGAAAAGCACCGGAGCCTGAACAATCTCCTCCACATCCAGCGTGATGACTGCAGGGCAGGCCACTTGCCCAAGCCATCCGGTAGCCCAAGAGAAAGGGTGAAATGTCACCTACCTCTGGTAGGAGCATTTTGGCATCACAGCACAAGGCTACAGGTGCAGAAGCAAAATTCTCATATTTCTAAACAAATTTTTGAAAATTCATTGTGAAACTTGACTGTTTTTATCTTATTCTTGTTAAAAGATCTCTTACTTCTCACCCATTTATAAAAAAATGGTTATTCAAATAAAGACAAACAAAGGATATATGGTGGAGATTTGCCTTCTTTCTGTTGCAAAGAAAAACAGTGGAAAATGTATCAATTGATTATAATTTTTCTCAGCCTATAACTTCCCCGTCTGAAAAATACAAATCACTGTTGCTTTTTTTCCTGGTCCTATCGGTCACAGTTGCTCAGTGGTTTTTAACCAAAGGACCATTGCTGTATTATCTTTTATGGAGAAATTACAATGGTTTTCATTTGCAAGCAAATCTAGATGGCTAATCTTAGGAAGTTCTCTTCATGCTTTCAGTTTGTCTCATTCTTTTTGTTTCTTTGCTTGCTTGTGAGGGAATATGTTGTGTCCCTCAAGAGTTAAAATCAAAGGAAACAAGTCCAAGCCTAAAACCCCCCAGTCATGTCAGAAATACAAGGGGATGTCCTAGTAGCCACCAGGACCCACACACTGACATTTCTCTATCCTCATGCAGGAGCAGAAATTGTATGGCACAAGGACAGAGGACAGATGTGTTAGGAAAAATGAAACCAGGTGCATGTCCTGCACCATGGTGAAACTGGGGTGGACTATTTTCAACTAAAAATTAAAAATAATAATAATAATAAAAATAAATCTTTCTTTACTTTTCCTGTGGTTTACATATTGCTTGCTCAGTTAACAGAATTAAAGAAAATTTAATTTTTTATATAGAACATGAGCTTAGATCTACCATTTCATTCTATTAAACACTAAAAGCTTTTTTTTTGGGGTGGGGGGAGGACAGGGCAGGGCTATGGCAATTCCTTCACAGAGCACAAACTATTTCCTAAGGTCTTCCATGGACTGAACACCTTTTTCAGAGTCTCTGTTGGATAATACAATGTTATCCTTGCTGTTCTTCTCAGGCCATACCACTGCTGGGCTGTGAACATTCCTGAACGTGGTTGCATTTCACCTTTATGTTCTTCCAGAGTTTATAAAGGAATTAGTGAAAGGCTTCTAGTGCCTTCACGCAAGAACTGGGACTTGCTATTGTGAAAAGGAAGGGAAACCACGTTGGGCATATGGCACAAAAATAAGATTGTTCAGTTACCTACATCAAGACTTTGTAGCAATACAGATTTCAAAAGGCACAGACTTCTAAAGTTTTGCCTATAGTTTGACTGATTTTAATTTTTTTATTATTATTATTATGTTAATTTGCAATCAACAGGAATATACTGAGGTTGCACTGCAGGGATAAGATTTTAGATAATGTGTTTTGCTCCTACAGAATCACAGCAGATTAGAGGAGCTGCTGGCAGCCAGCTGCAACCCATCTTTCGGAGTCAGATTTCCACTCTACTCACCGCTTACTTGAGTATGAATATATTAAGAGACTTCAATATTGGATACTGGAGACATCCCACTCTTAATACTCTACATAAATTTTCCTTGATGTCTTCAGAGACTTCCAATCAGTTAATCTGATTAGAGGCTTAATTTATGGCTTGCTCTCCTCTACCTTAAAAAGGAAGTTTTAGTGAAGATTTTAAAGGTCCATACTGTTATTTTGCCTGTTTGGATGTTTCATAACAATGAACTGTTCAGATCTACTACTAAACATGCTGTGCAACTAAACCTACTTCTTCTGGATAGTTTCGTAAACTAGGGAGCAGGTTGTTATTTAGGAGCTCTATGACATTGAGGAATCAATTTCTTAAAACTATTTGCACAGTTCTAAAACACAAAGCCTGTTCTATTAAAACCACATGAGTGCAGGGAACCGTAGCTTGCCGAGTGTTTCCAGTGTTTTGTAAAACAACTTAAATGTTCTAATGACTTCAGGTGTTTTCTAAGATGGTAATCACAGAATACTGTTGTTACCATCCCATTTTGGATGTTAACTCAATCTATGTCTCCGGTACAGAGATCATTTCTACCTGCTATAGGTATTTTGAACCCCAAGAGGAAACAGACTGGAAGAAGCATTCACTTCAACCTAATGACTTCTGGATGAGAGCATTTCTCTTTTCTAGCGTCTCTCACTGATGTGAAATAAATAAATGAAAACAAACAAGCTTTTCTGAAACCTTGTTCTAAAAAGGTTAATGAAACAGAAACTCTGGAAATCAAATTTAGTCATGAGACAGATCCACTTGAAATCAAATTCAGCAAAGAGCCGGATAATCAGGTTTATCACTCCCAGCAATCTTGTTTTACTCACAGATCCCGCTAATTACTAACACAAATGTGTATTTATTCAAACGACGTGACTCGCCCGCTGTTACCGGAGTGACCGGGACAGCACATAGGACGTGCAAGGCAAGAGAAGGTGCAAAAACCCCGTGAATTACAACTGTTGCCGGCAGCTCCGAGGAAGTTTGCGCCCCGGCCCCTCTCCCGCGCATCCCCCAACCCGCACCCGCGCATCCCCCCGCACCCGCGCATCCTCCCCCCGTTACCTGCGGCGCACAGGTAGCAGCGCTGGGACCCCGAGCCTTCCTCCACCTCGATGAACTCCTGCAGTCTCAGCCGCCGGGGGCCGAACAGCCTCTTGGCCAGCTCCTCCTTCACCAGCGAGGACATCGCCGTCGTCCCCCCTCCTCTCCTCCGCCGCCGCCGTCTCCGCCCGGTTCCTCGGCACCGGGCACCGCTCCGCGCACCCGCGGGGGCCAGCGGCGGAGGCTGCCCCCCGGCCGCGGGGGAGGCATCGCTCCCGGCGGGGTCCGGGTACCGTCGGTCCCGTCCCCCCCTCACTCACTCAATCCACCAGCCCCCTCCGGTGCCAAGGAACCGGGAGGCGTTAAGGCTCCGGTTGCCGGAGCGGGGAGAGGCCGGGCCGCGCATCTCCCCGCCCCACGCGTGTCCGCCCTCCTTCCTTCCCTCCCTCCCGGGAGATGCCGTGGGGGACCCGGGAGATGCCCCCCTGCCGGGGGTGGGGGGAGAGATGGGCGAGGAAACGCTCTAAAGGCAGCTTACCAGGAGTTCTCAATTAATGCAATTATTTTAATCAGCAGATAACAGCCTTAGCAGGAAAGGGTCGTTCCTTCTACAAGGAACTGCATCACCTTGTGCCTCTTACTGCCCTAATAGCCTTATGGCTAATTAAGAAGAGTTAAGGGGAAAATTAGCTGATGCCGCTCGTTATGAAGAGAAGGTGAACTCATCTCTGTGCACCAGGAGTCCTGGTGCATGGTGGGTGCAGCCTGGGGACCAAAGGACCCTCCATCCTCAGGGTGAGGATGTGTGTGTGTGAGGGGCCTTCATCCATCAGACAGAGGTTCATCGTGTCATACAGTCATTTAGGTTGGAAAAGACCTTTTAGACCATCGAGTCCAATAGTTCCCCTAGCACTGCCAAGTCCACCACTAAACTACATTTCTAAGCACCACCTCTACACTTTTAAACACCTTTTAAATACTTTCAAAGGCCTTTTAAATACCTCCAGGGATGGTGACTCAACCGCTTCCCTGGGCAGCCTCTTCCAATGTCTGAAAACCCTTTCAGTGAAGAAAATTTTCCTTAAGTCCAATCTAAGCCTCCCCTGGCGCAACTTCAGGCTGTTTCCTCTGAGTATATTTGCAGAAATTTTGGGTGTTCCTGACACTCCACAGATGTGTGGGTAAAGTTCTTGGGGGCCTGTACTCTTCTAATTTCAGTGGCTGCAGTAGCCTGGGTTAGAGTTTTTCCCTTTGGACTCATTTCTGGCAGCTTATAGAAGTTGAGTGTACTCTTCTACTTCCTATGCTCAAGCTTATTATGTCTGAACACCTTATTGGGTTTTCATTCTTATAGTCTCAACAAAATGTAGAAAGGAATCTAACCTTAGAATAAAACTGAGTGCGAAAGTGAAGATTTAACAAGTGAGGTATAAAATCTGAATGCTTTTTAAGAAAAAAAAAAAAAGGTTTGGGGCAATATTATTAGAATCACAGAATTCTAGGGGAGAACTTTGAAGTGTAGGGTAGATGGTTGGACTCGATGATCCCAAGGGTCTTTTCCAACCTAAATGATTCTATGATTCAATGAATTATAGAATGGTTTGGGTTGGAAGGGACCTTAATGATCACCTAGTTCCAACCTCTCTGCCACAGGCAGGAACACCTCCCACTAAACCATTAGAATAATTTAATGCCATAGGGTCTACATGGTTCTTTGCTGATGTGAAGCAAAATGGAATCCAGTAAATTGACGGTGTGAAATTAGGGGTGGTTGCCCTCTGCTGTAGACAGTCAGCAGATTGACTGGATGAGTGGGAAAGGGATTGAAAAGAAACGAGATGATTTTGATTTATTCTGCTTCCTTTTGATCCCATGTGTTTGGAAACACAGTCGTGATTCTTAAATCCATAGGTTAATTTTCATCCCTGCTTCGGGAGAGTAAAGTTACTCTAAGCTTCAGGTTTTGGATACATTTTATTAGTACAGAAAGGACAAGTTTAATCTCTTATCTTTAAAGTTATGTGAACCTCACTGCAACAGTTTATCTTAGGAAAAGGGCATGATGCTTGCTTTCAGAGACAACTGCACGTCATCAAAGTGCGGTGATATGGTGACCTTCCACCAGAGAGCTGAGGCTCAGGGATGCCCAGATGCTTGCCCACAGTCTTGGTGACCTGGCCGCACCTTGAATATGGGACTGATGTACAAATTGGCTCGCTGTCATGGTCCCTGCTGTTTTTCTGCCAGTCTTTGGCAGAATCATCAAGGCCCGTGCCCCAGACTTCAGTTTGTCATCACCAGTGTTAATAGTGTCATGGTTGGAGAGGTTTCAGTGTTGGTACTCGGTGCCAGAGTCCTCATTAGGAAGCTGATTCTGACTCAGCCAGTCCATAGCTCACGTTGCATCTCAGATGTCTGAATATTTTTTTTCAGTTCTGAAGCAACAAATGTACAGACAAAAATACCATTAGAAAAATACCTTCAGCTCTGGAAGAATTTTCTGCAAGTTTTTCCCCTATGAAAGGTTCAGTTGGTACTGGAGAAATTGCCAAAGTGGTGAGTGAAGCATCGCTGGTGGCATGGAAGTGATGGAGTTGAGACAAGAGCAGTGTGTAGCTCTGGTCTTTCTTGGGTTAGATTTTTATTTTTCACAGCTTAATAAAACTGTAAGTCACTCTACCTCAGTTTTTATAAAAGATTTCTGAGGTTTTATATGTAAATCCTCTTAAATTTTTTGTCTTTTTGGATATTCTTGCATATTAATGTTGTGCCACTCTGGTCAGTAGGACATGGCTAATAAAAATTGGTACATTTTTACATTGAAAACCATGACTTGGCTTTAGGTGGGGCTTTAGGGCTGTGTAGCTGCTAATTATAGTAAATTATAGTAATTATTAGCTGCTAATTGTAGTAAATAATAATTTTCATATTTAGAAATATTTTGGGAAAGGAGTAAAATTTTTTGATAATATAAAGAAATTTAAACATTTTACCTGTTAGGTGCAACTGTCCAGAAGAAGACTGGTATATAGACCTTGGTAAAAGGGTTCTGTGTATTTATTTCTGAGCTGTTGTGTATGCAGATAGCACTCAGAAGATCCTGTCCCGTGATGTAACTGTTTTCTTCATACCTCCTCTTAAATCAAATTATATTTCAGAAAGTATTATAGAGATTAAATTACTTCTGCAATATCCTTTGATGCATTCTCAAATACTACATTAAACAACCACTCTGAGTATACACACAGACAGGTACAATGGTGATTTTAATGTTGAATGTTTTAATAAGAAACACAAAAATCCGTAATTCACTACTCCTCTTCATTCTTTTTATTCTTTGTTCACCCATCCTCTGTTAGAGCATAGCAGGACAGTTTTGGTGCAGCTGGTATCAGGACTACCTGTGGTATTTTGAATAATGCCCATAAACATTTTTGTTTTAATATACCCACCCTGTTCTTCATTCTTGGAATTCTGTGGGGAGAAATGACCATCCCATTTTGCAGGTGACTCACAAAATCATTTCCTTCCTCTCTATCTCCACTACTTCGCTGACTTGGGTGGACTGGAAATAAGGCTTGGTAGGCTTTAGAATCTTCTTCCTCTACAGCTTGCATAAAGCTAATTTTTATGTCTCCTTGTTTGGTTATCAGTATGTTAAAAATTATGCAGGATGATTCTTGCAGTAGATAGAGAGCATCTGCGGTGCCAGCCCAGAGCTTCTTGCCTACTTACACGTTCTTCTGTCCTCCATTTCCTTGCTCTGTCTCTGTCCTCCCTGATGCTTTTCTTATGATATTATGCCTGTTTTTTCTTTTTTCTTTCATCTTCTGCAACTTATACGTCTTATGGACATACAGGCTCTTTTTAGATGACTCACGCAAAAAATAGCGTATATTTGAAATACAAAGCTAGAGTTTAACTGAGAGAAGATAGACATTGCTCTACATGAGTAAACATACTTTCAATGGAAAAGATACATACACAGTTCAAGGCTATGATAGGAAATCCTGGTGGTTAGGGGTTTGAAGCTTTCCAGGTCTCTCAAATTTATTCCCACTCAACAGCTTCCATTACAAGCTTCCCCTCTAATATTTCTTCTTGCTGGTGTCATTACTGCTGAATGGAAACAGAAACACTTTCCTAGAAGCTGAGGGGATGTTTTGAGCGATGGGTTTTCAGATCCACCTTAGCTGAAATGTTGCAAGCCCAAAATCTAACTGTTCATAACCGAATGCCAACAATTGGGCAGTAATTTACTTGTCCAGCAAGGATGCACTAGCAATGGTCTGGGATCAACTTCCCATTCCGGCATCCACCACCTGTCTCTCTCCCAGCTAAACCTGTCCATGAATGTGTGTTGTATAGACATAAACCAGAACAGATCAAACTCCTTCTTACCAGTGCCACAAACAAATTTAAATCAAAATTTAACTTGGATTTACCTGGAACTGTTCAGATAGATGAATTACAGATGTTTGTGAAACCAGGGCACCCTCTACCCCAGGTTCACAGTGGTCTACAAAGGAACCCTTTACAACACGAAGCAGTCACCAGGGAAGTGTCTCAGACCTTTCTGCCAAATATAAATTACTTCTGTTCCCTTTTTTGCCCTCTCTTTTCCCTGCAAACTTTTCCTGTGTCCAAATACAGTTTTCCCTACGGTACCCAGGACATTGACTTTAATAGATGCAGTAGCAGGTCTTAAAAGGATAAATCTCTCTAATCTTTATTGTTCCTCAGTCACACCATTCTGGTAAAAATCAATTCACCAGCTTTAAAAGCAATATTTATGATGAGTCCCTCTACTCCTTTGGATCTACTAACGTGCATTAGTATATACATGTAACTGATTACCCGGGGCTTGATCCAAAACACATTAAGTCAGTTACAAGTTTTCCTTTGATTTTGATGGGCTTCCGAACAGTCATTAGTGGAACAGCAGAACAGTCACCATGTTTAGGTAGGACTTCACTGTGTTCTGTGTGTTGAAGCCCTCCCGAGGACGTACATTTGATCTCTCTCTCAAATTCCCAGCAAGAAACACACCCTTACAAAGCAGTGTTTGCTGGAAGCATCTTTCCCCTTGCTCCTTGCTTGACAACGTTATGAAATAAAAAGAAGGAAGGAAAATAAAACACTCAGAATAATCTCTGCAAGCTGCAAAAGATCGCTGTAGGTTGAAAAACATCGTTTACCATCTTAATTAAATTAGGATTTACTTTCCTCTGGCTGTTGTTTCTGTTTGAGGTTTCAGCCAGGCATGGTGTTCTCTCTTAACACTTGTTTTATTGTCTGTAAGTATTCTTCACAGCTTTAGAGCTCCAGACCACTTCTTTTTTTGACGT